GAGGCCGGGGCAGCCCCGAACATTAGTCGGAGAGGGACGAGCCGCTGCAGGGAGCAGGGCTGCGACCAAGCACAGACCCTTCTGCCTCTGGAGCATGTGGAAAAGCTGCTCTGAGCGCTGGTGGAAACGGGGGCCGAAAAGAGATAGACTTCATAACTACAGGCGAGTTCTTAGGCTGTAATTTAAAACTGTCAACAAGTTAATCTTCGGCAACTGCCTTTTAAAGTGACTCTGCCTTCTTGAAACGTTTTACGTGATTTGATGAGAATTTCACCTTGAAACTCAGCATTGTAACTTCAGAGTCGCCCCACCTTACAACTTCATTCACACTTTTAGCTCTCCAGGCGTACATCAGATACTCTGAGACGCTTAGCTTTAGAAAGGGGCACGTTTCTGAGGCAAACTAGGCTGGACAATACAAGGTTGGCCGGCGTTATTGCTGTGCAAGTAACTGTAGCTCGAAAGCGTATTTACAAACAAAGCTATGTTTAAACGGGCTCGTTTCCCGCTTCTGAACTGCTTTCAGGTGACGTATCTATATATAGAGAGAAAGAACCCCGTAGCTGATCACGGCAGAATTCTAGAGAGGTTGTGCGTGCTCCCTGTGTGTGCTTGTGCACGTTTCCGAAAGGCATATTGTGTCGGCAGGTACAATACTGCTGCTATTTGAAGCCTTTGTATTGTCTGCATGGCATTTGCTGATGCGCTGTTATAATCAGAAAAGTTGGAACCCGACTGTGCAAAAGCAAGCACTTCTGAAAGCTAGCTAGCCAGAGCCTTAGGAGGAAAAAAAAAAAAAAAAAAAAAAAAGCAGAGTTTTTATTTTTCCCTTGACTGGGTCAAATTACATCTAGATAGCTACGGCTACACAATACACAGAAGAACAGCAGAATCATCACACGAATACTTTTAGCTCTTGATGTGACGCTACCCGTAGGTTTGCATTTCTTGGCAGTTTCCACGAGTGACTAGGCTTGTTCCCCTTTCAAAGAATTAGCGAAACATCTGTATTTTAACGTATTCATCAGAAGTCGACATAAATTCACCCATCACCTCTGCTTTCTAAGGTAGAGCCCCGTCTTCCGAGCTCTGGGATAAGGGGTTCTCCCGGGATTTTCCTCTACGGTCATGGTGCAGCGGATTTGGCTTGTTTTGCTTTGGTTTGGAAGCATCAAACTGCCGGGAGCTGTTGCACGTTATCGCGGCCTCTGGCTATACTGAGCTACATTCAGTATACAAGAAGCAGACCCGAATTATGATTAATTTAAGCAGCGTTCTTTCATTAATTTTCGGGCCAAAAATCTGTTTTGATGATTTGTCAGGAAATAAATACATAAAACCCTCCCTTCCCTTCTTAGCGCACGCACACCTTAGCGAACTCGCCCTCCCCTGTCAAGTCTTACACAGGTTCAAGCTTCTGTCATTAAGTGGTTTGTGTGTGGGGGGGGGGTGTGGGGTGGTTTGTTTTTGCAAATTAATTATCTGCGGAGTCAGAAATGTCAGTTATGTCACTCCAGCAGCGCATAAAGCAGAGGAGGCTGCAGGAGCTCCGATAGATCTGACTGCTTGAATGGCCTTTGAAAGAGGGTTCATCACCCCCCGCCCCCGCCCCC